TTTAATATAGTAAAAGAAACTTCTAATATTTATTTTACTAAGGATTCTAACTCTAAAGATAACTTATATACTTTAAAGTCTAATATAAAGTTAGAATACTTAATATATCTAAAAGAACCTCCTTTACCTAAATTAGTAAGTATATATTTATATTAAACCTATATTATATATATATATTATTTTATATATATATATATAATATAAATACTTTTATATATTATTCTTATATATATTTCTATATTTATATTAATAGTTACTAATAATAATAGGTTAATACTTTACTATACTAAAAAAATAATACTTCTAAATTTTTTATTTTATCTTTAATAGCTAGAAGATATCTAGCTATTCTAGCTACTTTAGCTGCTATAAAAAGAATATTTTCTATTTCTAGTAATATTATTACTAAAAATAGAAATAAATTAAGTCTTTTTATTATTAAAGCTATTATATTATTAAAAAACTAAAAAGTTTCTAATTTAAATAAATTAGAAGATCTTTATAGTTTAGATAATAGTAATATAAATATTATAAATACTATAGATACTATAAAAAAGTAAGATATAATATATAAACTTACTTTAAGTATTTATATATTTTAGTTATTTAGTAGTTATTTAGTAGTTATTTATAAAGTAGTTAAGTTATTAGTTATTAAGTTATTAGTTTTAAAATAGTTTATTATTAAGTTATTAGTTATAAAGTTATTAGTTATTATATACTTAGTTAGATATTAATTAATTAATTACTTATTTTCTTTTTTAAGTATTTTAATAAGTTAAATATTACTTAAGTTACTTTTCTAAAAAAAGTACCTTAGAGATATATTATATAACTTAGATATTAATAAAGTTACTTTTATAGAAAAAAGTACCTTAAGAATATATTATATAACTTAGATATTAAGAAAGTTACTTTTCTAGAAAAAAGTACCCTAGGGATATATTATATAACTAATATATTAAAAAAGTACCCTAGAAATATATTATATAAGTTAAATATTAATAAAGTTACTTTTTTAAAAAAAAGTACCTTAAAGATATATTATATAAAGTAAATATATATATACTTACTTTAAATAGTTATATATATATATATATATATATACTTACTTTATATATATTTATATATATTTATATACTTACTTTATATATATTTATATATATATATATATATATATATATTTACTTTATATATATTTATATATATACTTACTTTATTTAAAATATATAATTAGAGAGTTAAAACTATATTTTATATAAAAAATTATACTTTTTTAAAAATATAATACTTATAAGGCTTAACTTAAGATAATAAATTATATAATTAATATATAGTATAGATCTAAGAATTATTATAAAGGTTTACTAGTATAGTTTTTATTTTTAGTAACTATATATTAAAATATTTAAGTAAATATAACTTATATTTATATTATATTTTTCTCTAGATAAAATATAATATATATTAGTATATATACTAAAAATAAAGTTTTAAAAACTAAGATTAAAAAGCAGGGCGTTTACCTAAATAGGAAATAGAAATATTATTAAATCTAGAATAGTAACTATAGCTTAAAATATATTTCTATATATTTTTATATATACTATATAAGTTAGTATATATATATATAATTTAGCTATACCTAAAAGGCCTTAACACTTATATTAAATTTATATTTTTTTATTAACTTTTTATATATAATATATATTTAAAAATACTATTTATATTACTTACTTAAATAAGTATTATATAATATAAATAAATTATATTATATATACTTACTTTATATATAACTATTTATATATTTTTTATATTACTTATTTTAATTATATTAATTATAATATATAATTAATTAGTTAATAAAATAAATTATAAAGTTTTTATTTAAAGTTAGGTTTTTTTATATTTAGTTAAAAATTACTATATATAGAATTATTATATAATTCTTTTTAATTTCTTATTATTTTTATTTATTTTTATTTACTTATTAAGTATACTTAAGTATACTTAAGTAAGTATTTAACCTTAATAAGTATACTTAAGTAAGTATTTAACCTTAGTAAGTATACTTAAGTAAGTATTTAACCTTGAAATACTTACTTAAGTATACTTATTCCCAACCCTGCTTATCGCGGTTGAGGGGATAGCTCGAGGCGGGTCACGTGGCCTCGGGCCGGCCTAATTCTTAGTGGGATGCCCGATATCTCGACAATAACCCCCCCTCCCCTCACCCTAATGCAATCAAAACCAATTTAGTGCCGATGTGACACGACGTAACCCCAATTCGGCCTACTTTCACCTTATTCTACCAGAGAATATCAGATTGCTAAAGCGAAGGGCTTGCTGTAGAGATCTTGATTGGATTTGGCCTGTAGTTTTGAGTTTGACCACAAGCACGGATACTTGGGCAACTGTAAATATCCGCCATATACAAGGTAGTAATGTGAATCATAGTTGGAGTATGGGATAACCATACAATGGATTAGTGAGTTGTACTTGTTTCCTATAATGGTCGTAAGCGCAAAAAGACTGGAGGTTATTGCTGGTGCATACACTAGACCGTATATTGACGTGATCGGCCAGCGGCGAATCAAGTCTGAATCCTCCTATTACTTTCTCAAAATTTCGAATGCCAGTCGTCTCATCCACGGAGCCTGTCACCACCCTGTCCCTAGCAGAATTAGATATTCGCTGCATCGTATAGAATACCCAAAAGGTGGCGGATCAGAGCATGGGAATCGATGACATTGCCCACTCTTACGGCCGAATGTGGTAGAGGATGGACCCTGAAGCCGTTATTTGATGCCCGCACGCTGGTAGATCAGTCGGGAGAGTTTGGGCGCTTTTTTTTAAGACCCCAAGAATATTTGACGCGCGGCATGCATTGTTTAGACTTTGTTGTATTTTCGGGATCTTCGATGATCCAATTGGAAGACGTGGTCTGTTTCCCGTCGTCTAACGATTTTATCACGTGTCTCTCTTCGGGCTCCAGGCTATTGCCTCGTCAGGATAGTAGGCTTTGGCCATAATTTGTGAAGGCTTATCTCACTTCTGTGCCAATGCGAAATGCTCGGCTCCCTTTCTTTCCTGTCCAGACTCAAGAGGATCACAAGCAACAGTACCACCATATCACCTCCAACAGCTTCAATCACAATTCAGCTTCAGCCTGACCAGCTAACCGCCAAGGTGCCTTTGATTGCAGCTGTTACCTCCACCATACCTTCCGACATTAAGAACGAGTTTGCCGGACACTGGCCCGATATCAGGGCCGATATTGCCAAGCAAATCATTGCTCTTGGTGTTTCTGGTGGTGAGGTGGTTGGATAGAGCCTCGAAACGGTGTCCGAATTGAAGTTCTTACACTTTCCGGACAAGCACCTTATATGATTTCTAAAACTGTATGTAAGCAGTATGTTAAAATTCGTTCAACATTTGCGTCAATAGAGGACGAGAAGGCTTTCAGCGACTCCGTATGGGCCAGGGCTAAATCCAAGAAAGCAAAGACAAAGATGGCTGCACCTCCAGTGATCAGGGATTTTAAAGTAGGTGAGATCCCCTTTGATGGAACAGCAGCGGTGTAAAGCAAGTACAAAAGAATTGCCTATCTCTTTCAGTGGCCGAGACGAACAATCTAAACAACAAGCGAGACATACAAGAGGCCTAAGGTGTGGGCTGCATGGGAAACGTGTAAGAGTTTTGAAAAGACCACCACTATTCTGGCAAATCCTGAAGCGTAGGCAGAAACCGCATGTGAGTTACACTCATGAAGAAAGGAAAATTTGGCGCAAGGCGATTTTGGAATGAGTTGAACAAACTACAAGGATCAATCAAATGGATTGTTGCGGTGAACAGAAGTGAACAGGAGTGAAAGCCAGCTTAGTTCAAAATATCCCAACAAGTAACTAATCACTGAAAATTCTTGCGCATATTCACTTGTAATGCCTCAAAAACTATCTTATATATCAATTCCCACCTTGAGCGAGTTCATAGATCTAGACTCAGACAGTACACACACACACACACACACACACAAACAAAACATACACGCCTTCTTTTCAGAACCCCTGACTCATTCTAATCACCCTACACTCAATTTCATCAACATGTCTTCTGGTGGTTCTTCCAGTGGTGGCTCGAGTGGCAAGAAGGACGAGGAACAGTACCGCTCTGGCGGTTATACCTCAAACGATTCCTATGCCTGGGGATCGAAAGGCAAATCGGACACATACATCGACAGTAGTGGCAATAAAAGAAATGCCAAAGACAACTCGTACACCTACGAGTACCCTCCAAGGAAGTACAATCCTGACGGGACTATCAAGCCTTCTTGAAGCATTAAAATGAAGCACTGGCATCAGCCATTGTGGAACACACGAAGAAGATGCGGTAGAGCACCGACATAGGTTCAAGTTCTCAGGGGACATTTATCGTCCACCTAGAGTAGTATAGTAATATCCTCAAATCAATAAACCAATTGATTAGTAACTTGCTGAGACATTGGGTAATTTCAAGCCCGAAAGGTTTTTTCTAGTACAGTCAATTAGTTATATCTGCTCTTCCTTCTCTCTCTTCGATTCATGTTTATGTTGCTCAGCAAGAATCGCATCGACCTCACCCGACGCGGCTTATTCAGCCTCTTGATTACGTCGCTGACAGATACGAAAATCGTATAACTTCACCTCAATTACTTTGCCCTTCTCAAAGCAAGAATCAAGCCCGATCTCTCTTCCTCACATCAATCAAGCGTTCGTTGGTCAAAAAGTTGATTCGCCACCATCGCCATGACTGACAGCAACAACTACTGTACGGTCTTATCGACCCCCAAGCTCAAGGGGTGGTATATTTGGTCTTCATGAGTCATCCTCATGGGTGCCACTGTCCGCGCTCACGAAGTCAAGGCGTACGTCGATTCAGGTGTCGCTGAACCCACCAAGAGCACTCCTGCCCACATCTCATGGGAAGCCGGTCGCGATGTCGCGTAGACCCTCCTTATCTCTTCGTGCACCCTCATCAACAAGCTTCTCAACGCAGGCTGGCAGGATGATGGTAACTCGTACACCCTCATGATGTCTCTTGAGAAGTATATCCCCAAGGTGTCTGAGGACAATGTTAGTGCGCTTGTATGAGTTTTCCAAAGGCAACGCTCACAGCCACAAGACCCTCCATGAAGCGCTCAAACGCGTTCAATACCTTCGCGTGTGCATCATCAGTATCTGAGGTGAAAAATCTGATCGTTTCTGGGCGATTCTTCTGCTTATTAATTACTTCAAGGTCCGCCTGCCGAATACATATAAGTATGACACTAACAATAAGAAACCTACTTGGTCTGACGTTATTGAGACTATCTACAACCTCGCTCAAGACGAAGAGCAGAAGACAGAGGTTGCATCATACTGCAAGACTGTGCCGACAACCCTAACCACCTCCTCTTCTAGCACCACTCCCGCTAAGAAGGAGGACCGCGAGGTTTGCTCCCACTTCAACAAGAACCACACTGCGGCAAGATGCCGAACCGCTCGCCCGGAGCTTATTCCGCTTGGCAACCCTTCCACGAAAACTCCTGAGCGGCGCCTGCCCACCAAGCGCAACCCCTTTGATGCTCGAAAATGTGCCATCCTATAACCACGTCGTCACCCGCCGCCGCCTTACCCAAATACAGCTGCCGGCCAGCCTTGCAAACGGCCAAGGTGGCGTTTTCTACTACATCTATCTTGGCGTCCCCCTGCCCAAGGGAATCGTCTGCGAAATCTTCAAGTCCAGCCCCAGCGCCTTCTTCCTCATGCGCCGGAGCCACGACAGCTTCGTGTCCGCCTCCGGTATGTTCAAGGCCATCTTCCCCTATACTGAGGCCTCCAAAGAAGAGGCCGAGCGCAAGAATATCAAGTTTTTTGCCACCACCAGCCCCGAGGAGACGGGCCAAGACATGATGTCGAATTGCCAAGTCGCAGCTATTGTGAGATTACTTTCGCTCTCCTTAACCTCGTATTTAAAGAAAGGTACACACACACACACACTCTCTCTCTCTCTCTCTCTCTCGATAAGTGTATGTTGCCCTCCAACCTCTCAAAGGCACCCACGACAACGGTATTCTTTCACTTTCAGACAAAGGGAGATGGTCTTAATATGAGATCTTTGATGACTTTAGATAGCCGCGGGAAAGCCTTGAAAGTTCGACTTTGAAATCCAGGGCCGGAAGGTCAGCTTCTGCCAGAGAAACCATTCGAAAGGTTCTGCCATTCTCTTGGAACAGTTGCGTAGATGGCCATAGGGAGTTCTTCAGAAGCCAAGCCGTTGGCTAAAGATTGCAGAATTATGCGTCAGGGCTCTGGCAGAAGACTTGTCTAGCGAGGATCTCCTATGCCTTCTGCATGGATGGCGATGTGTTGCTGCATTATGATGGCAAAATAATGTGGTAGGCAGAAGAAGTCATTCCCCTATTTTCCTCTTTCTGCCTAGGTCTCGCTGAACTCTCCACAAAGGTAGCCTTTGAATGAACGAGTGTGAGATACTCACACCAGAGGGTAGGATATCAGGGTTGCATGTGGTGCCATCTAGAAGCTAAAAATGTCCATCAAGCTAACGACGACGTCTACCGTCCAAGACGGATCTCAGTTGGCCGCACTATTTCCGGGCCGTTCGTACCTAAGAGCGGTGCCCACAACTATAGGTTTCCAAAGCCATCATGGGAAAAGCCATCTCCGCTCCATCTAGATGATTCCAGTGAGGGCTGGTTTAGGGGTTAGGTCGGTGACGACTAGCGAATACCTGGTGTTGTATATTCTTTTGGCGTCTGCTCTCTCGTCCAGGCCACTATTCCCAGCCCTCCCCTCCTTAACAAGCAAGAATCTTCTATAAGTAAAATGAGACACAGTCTCTGGAGACAACTGATGATTAATAACTTAAAGTCAACCCGAGCAGCCATTATGGTTTACAAGCTTAGTGCTTCGGCGCGAAATCGGCTCTTGTTGTGTGTGGACCGCACCCCACGGGACAGTGGGAACGCCGCCCCCACCCATGTACCCTGCAGGCACCCCCACAGACTTCCAACCTTGGTTCCTCCTTGAACACCATGCCTTACACGAACCGTGGCCACCACCATCTATAATTTCATCTACCTTCACCCACGTCACCGCCATCTGCACTTTAATACCTTTGGTCGACCGCAAATCCATGAGAAACAAACATCTTTCCTACGAGTCACCATCTTCAATCATACAACCATCGCTCACGTTTCAGTCCCCGCCCTCGCTTGACGCCCGCTCCAACCAAAACCCGAAGGAGCCCCTCGCCTCTCGTGTGTGATCACTCTATTCGACAATCATGATCGTGGGACAAAGAAAATTCCAGCTCCAGCTTCAGGAGAATACTCTGCCTTGACACAGCAATCCCCATCAACTCTTCTACTATGGATCATCAATGAGGCCTTCACCCAAATGCAATCCAGGGAGGACTCGAAAGGTTTATTGACTGCTGCCCTTTCTTTTTCCGAACTTTGAACTTTCCCTTACGGATAACTATTCACTAACTTTCTTCTACCTTCTCTTCTCAACCACCCTGCCCACAAACGCATCAGAGAAACAGCAATATTGCGTGGTTATGCAAAAACGGTTTCCAGCAGCAACACAGAGGCAAATCTCGCGCTTGAATGTTCCATGGTCAATGATGATGACATCTGAAAAGGTCTGAGGCCAGCGTTGGTACACTAATTATCCCAGAGGGTTAGCCAAAGGCTAAGTGGGCTGCGTCTCCCCTCAGACGAGATACTATCCTCATCGCCACAGCTCGGAAAAAGTCGTAACGCCCGGAGGCAGTCATCATTGGGGGTCCTCACAAAGAATCTGATGTAGGACATGGCCAATGATGATGACACCTGAAAAGGTCTGAGGCCATGGTTCGACTGAGAAAGATTGTATGGAATGGTAGTCAAGAACGGGCTTCTTTTGTAACCAAGGATCGGGTCTATATAGTCGAAGTCAGCTCAGCTTCGCTAAAAGGGGCATGGGAAGGCAGCACATGTTCGAAACCTTACCCAGTCTGATTTTCAAGGACAGGCAGCGGATGATGCAAACGGAGGGATACGGACAACAGTCGGAAGACCTTGAGTGCACCGAGAGGGTACGAAAGAAACCTAGAGGCAGGACGATGGTCTGGCTTGATAGCGTTCATTCTGGCAATGGAGGCAGAGAGAGGCATTGATTTCAAACGATGAAGAACAGATTGGAGGACGAGGAGAAGGCGATGGACGATGGGGTTGAAGTGGGAAGACGAAGATGTCAAGGAGAGGAAACAAGCCAAGCACCAGACCAGGAGTAATCTTATACACGTCTGCAACTTTTTGAACGCAACTTCCCTGACATTGAAACCAAGACTATCTATGTCGATGCGGAAGGCCATGGGTGGAATTCGGAAAGGCTCCCATATTCGCACGCGCACCTGGAAGTTCTTCCATCCTCGCATGGGCAAGCGAGGGAGTCCTGAGAACCAAGTTGTGACAGGGACGCATCCACGTAGAGAAGGATACCTACAACCCGATGCCAAACCTGTTCTAGTTCTAAGTTGACAAGAGCAACCCCGCCGCCACGACCCTGCAACTTGGAGAAGGCGCAGGCTTTTCCACCTTCATCAGACCGCAGGTACGAACAGCTGACGACGTCAGCAACAGCCGGCAAGAACAGCGAACCCAACGTCCGGGCCGCTATCAGGTTGACAAGGGGACAGGCACGGTTGACGCTGGCTTCCTTCCGGTCATGTCACTCAAAATACCCTCATCCCCTTCACACCCCCCCTCGGGCGAGGTGCGACCCGAAAATGGAAACAGGACGTCCAGTTTGTCACGGGAGGTTTATGGTCTTTTCCACTGGTACTTGGGAAGCCCTTCTGCGTCGTCGTTCTTATCTAGGTAGCCAAGGCTCGTGCATGTTCAGGAAGCTACTTGAGCTCGTTTGGCAATAAGTCTCTCACGAACTCGGGTCTCATTCAGTGACTGCTATTTGAGCAGGTATGAGGCATCTTGGATCTCAGCAATACGCTCAGCGACGTTCCCCGAACCCCGATCGGCCATCAGGGGCCATTTGGCTTTACATTCCACCCCACACATCCCCGGTGTCTAGTTTATACCAACATGTTTACTACGGGTATATAATGAGAGACTGCCCCGGCGATGGTCATTGGTAATCAGTGACTTGGAGTTAATCAGAGCAATCGTTATGCTTTACAATCTCAGAAACTGCCATCCGGGTTAGTTTTTGCGCGAGATCGACACTTGGTTGTGGACCCCTCCCGCCAGCAAAGCGGGAACGCCGCCTCCGGCCATGCCCCGCCGTCAACCCGGAGTTTTTTTATTGGAGATTGATATCTTGCTGGTCCCCGCAGCTACATGCGTTCCGGGGCCCGTACGGAATATAACCACAGCGACCCCCGGGAGGCGGACGGTGGGAGACATGACTGCCGCAAAGGGTTGAACGGCCCAAGACGCGCAAACAGCCGCAATCCCCTCGAAGTAGTCATTTATCGCCTCGCCACCCGCCCGGCATCATCACCCATCCGCACGCTCGATTCTGATTACAAAGCAGAAAGCTTGATAAGCAGAGCCGCACGGTGAACCCATACAACATGACGTTGGAAAGCCTCACTGTTTCGTCTGGCAAAGGAACGGCTACTGTAGTTAAAAAACGCTTGCACACAAACACACACACACATCTCGTCATCTACCAGTGTAACCTAATGTTGTCGGGACGAGGCATTTAAGCCGACGCCGTGGCCTCGTGGTGCCCCGAGATGGCATATTCCTCGAGTATGAGGTGACGTCACTTGGGCATGAACACATGGCACGCAAGCGCACGTCAGATGAGAAGAAACATTAGCTGATGGGACGAAACAGTCACGAGTTCCATTCTTAAGAGTGCTAAGCCTAGCTAGCTGCTCGTAAGCCCGGAATACCCACATCCGTCCTTCACCAAAAATAAGTGGAGGGGGTTGTTTCCCTTTTGTTTTTGAATTTTCTCAATTCCACTGCTCATCCTCATGTCCCAAAAGACACAGTGCTCCGTAGCCGATCGGTAATGACAATATCAGCGAGCCCGAGCATCACCCGTTTTTCTTCCAACTTGCGTCCTGTCCTCCGCGAGAGTTGCTAAATAGTCAAGCTCCGGCTGACTCTTCCAGTCCGCCAACACATACATAAATGTGTCGTGTGTTCATATTCAGTGTCCTGAAGCCACTGGATATCCATAATGTCTTCCTCGTCAATCCGCAGGATAATTAAAAAGGTGTTTCGAAGCGCACAAAGCAAGCGCATGATGCGATGGCTGATGAGGTGAAGCTCGCCAGCATAAATGTTGTTGTGATCCTCCACGGCGTGTTGAAGTGGGGATATGCAGATGTGTAACAAAAACAAAGGGGGTATGTGCAAAAAAGTGGTATACGCATGAATGGGAGAGAATCGAAAAGTTTGTGTAGGGGGAGCAGTGTTGTCAGGCCAGCCCATTCCAACCTGTTGTCAAAACCCTGTTACGGCCTCCGGTGTCCTTGGCCATCGCCGCCGGCAAAGCCGATGCGGCGAACCTTGTGATGCAGTGCCTCGGCCTCTTCTTCGCATCATGTCGCGATACGAGACAGTTGGGAGAGACAAGAGGAAGGCTGTTCCAAAATGGCTGGCCGGCCTGGGTGTAGTGTGTCGAAATGATTTCGACCAAGAAAGTGTTGGAGCATCCTCCAATAGAGCCGTAATCGTAATGCAAAGTGGTGCCCAATGCCACAATGATTGCCCTTCGCGCGAGGGCGTTGTTTGCCGTTCCAAATGCCAGGACGCCGAACCCATGAAATTGTAGAACCGCCGTGTCATGACACGTCTTAGAGTGGTGAGGTGTGATCTAGGGCGCGCCGGCCAGATCAGGCAGGTCATGACACGGCATTCTAGCCTTGGCAGACCCCGGCCCGACCACAGTTCGAGCCCAAGAGAACCAAAAAATAGAGAGATGCTTCCTCATCACTCAAACAGACCGATCGCACAGCGCAATCTCCATCCCCCAACGCCGTGCTATGCAAAAGTGGTATTATACAGAGCCCAGCCGCAGGAGAGCCTCCACCGCATCACGCTCTTGTGCGTCAGACGGGGCCCCATGCGCTGAGAAGTCGAAAGTCAAAGGTTGGTGGGAGCGAGCCATGCCCGTGGAGACGGTGCGCATGCCGAGAAAGCTGCGCCCGGCAGACTGAGCTGTAGCTCCAGCGGTGTTGTAGGACTCGGCACGAAGAGCCGCGGCTCCTACAGCAGCCCAGTCCTCGTCGTCAGTGGCATCCTCTGGGTCATCGTTCATGTCGATATCGTCATCGTCCGGAGCCTCGGAGCACGAGGCGGAGGCAGAGCCATCCAGGGACATTTTGTCCGCTTCATTTTCCATCATCATGGCGTCGCGATCGTCGTGGGAGAAGACGACCGAGTCGCCGGCGCTAGAAGAGGCGAGGTTCAGGCGGGACCTGTCCATACCACGTCCGCCACTCTTGTTAATGGGGATGCCGGATCGGTAGTCGGTCGGGGGCGAAGACCCTCGTGGAGGCTGACCACGTCGTCGGGCATCCCACCGTCCCCAGCCTACCTTCTCGAACTCCACATCGCCATCCAGGCCGCCACCCTCAGCTCCGCGACCCTCCAAAGCTCCGACCACCAAGCGGCGCGCCTTCGTTGGAGGAATCCCAGCAAAGCCTGGCACCGACGTCGTCAGATAGCCCATGATGTGGCGGATGGCCAGAGGGCCGTGGTTGAGGAGGATCTCGGGAAGGTGATGCTTGGCCAGCAAGGTGGTGCTGATGGAACCAGTCGCATCGTACGAAGGCGACCGCGAGGCTTCGCGCGCGAGACCACTAGGGTCGTCATGCAGGTCCAGATCAGAGTCGATGAGCTCGAGACTGGCCTTCTGGAGCTGGGCCTTGAGGCCGTGAGGCGGCAGAGAGGGCGAGATGGAGTTGGGAGGGGTGGGGAGGGCTTGAGATCGTGTCACAGTCGTCGCAGGAACACTCCGAGCCGCTACAACAGTTAAGTTGTCTCGACCCATGTCGGAGGCCTGGTGGATATCGCGAACAGCAGCTGCCATAGTCGCCATGATGTCGTTTAGATGTATCTTTAGCTTCTAGACGTGTCTACAAGCGAAAAACGAGCATTAGTTGGGAATCTTGTACAGAGGTGATGCAGAAGACGACGACGACGATCGGAATGAGGGGGGTTGAGGGGTGTTATCTCGCGACAAGGGGAAGAAAGGGTGGTGATGGTTGGGTTGTGGTGTTGAGTCACCCAGGGCACACTGTTGACGTACTGCTAGAAGCGGAAGGGATGCGATGCAAGTGTGGAACTGTGCGGGTAGGCTCAGTTCGACAGGGTCGGCTAATGACGGGTTGGCAGGTCAGGCAGGCAGAGCTGTGGCTGTTGCGATTATCTTGACTGTGACAAGAGAATCTCGTCAGTATTGGTGTGTGATATCTTGGTGATGTTGTGTTTGCAATGAAGAAGAAGAAAAAGAAGAAGAGGAAGGAAAAGGGAGGGTCAGGAAGTGCGACAGCCAGGGCTAAGTAAAAGGGCCGTGGACGGATACGGAGATGGGATGGGATTGAGAGTGACAGACAAGACTCACCACCAAAACCTGACTGAATGACTGAGAGCGACACACACACACACACACATACGCACACTTATTCGCCTCTCCAACACACACCTTCCTCGAGCAAGCACCACGCCCACAGCACCAGGAGCAGGGTAAGGAAGGAAAAGGTACAAGAGATACAAGAGATACATAGAGAGACCTGGGGCGCGTGGAAAGGCAGTGGCCGAAGGGGGGGGGGGGGGGGGGGGGGGGGCCCAGAGGGAGCCACAGAGCCCACTGGAGGTACCCACGGCGCCGGACGGATGCAACCCAGGATCAAGGTATCCGTCGTAGAGGATGCGGTACACCCATGTACCTCTCCTCTGTTTCCAGGTGGGTAGATAGGTATGTAGTGTACGGATACTCCGTACCTAGTACACTACACTCGGCAGTCGTGTCTTCTCCCAGATGATCAGATGGATCACTACGATGGAAGACCGGGAGAAACGTCAATCAAGGCCGGTCCTGTACGCCAGATGCTGCAGTACCGCCTGGCCCTTTTTTTGCCCTGGCAGCAGCGGCAGAAAGACGCAAGCCCAAGACTTGGCCCGTAGAGCACGCATGCACCTTACCCCGAACCCGCCAAACCACAGCAGCGGCAGCAATAGACAAAGAACGCCGCCGTCGGGCAGGAAAGGAGACGGAGCGAAGGGGAGCGAAGGCGATGGATGATGGATGATTAGGACCGGCGCGCCCTGGGCGTGTGAGTTGGCCACGGGGTGTTGATGTGTTGGTTGCTAGGTGGTGGTGACTGATGGAGTGTGTGGCTGGTCAGGAAAGTGGCTATTTCCCTGCACTGACACCCAAAAAAGGAGTGGGCGGATGAGATGGAAGGTACGTACCGCTACCAATGCGAGGAAGTAAAGGGATGTGTCGTTATCTTCGCGCTTGCTTGTGTTGCCTGTGGGTTTCGCCTCCACTTGCCCGAGAGGGATGCGAGGTATTCTTTTTACACAGTGTGTCACTACTCAGGCGCAAAGACTGTGCTGTGCCATCATTGCTTCTCGCGGTCTGTCTGTCTGTCTGTCCTTCCTGCTTTTCGATTCCAGCTGTTTCGGGTAAGCGATTACCTAACCTGGGAAGGGTGAGCTGCCTTTTGTGACGATTACTAGCATATTTGGATTAATCGCTTTATCTGCCTGTCGACCACAAACCTTGGATGTGACGCTTCTTGTTCAACGCTTGTGCGTCAGCAACCTTCGGTCCGACGTCCTTTCTTATCCTGGCGGGCTGCTACCTTGACGTGCCTACCCTTTTGTTGGGTAATGACATACACACACACACACACACACACACACACACACATACAGAGAGAGAGCTCTTTGACCTTTGGGCATGGCTGATTGCTTTCTCTTTGATGGAGGTAGCGAAAAGAGGCTTGACCGACAACACACGACAACCACGCAAACTCCGTTAAAACCCCACCGCCTTAATTGGCAAGCACCCCCCGTCCCGTAACCTCCAAACAATCCACATCAACGGAGCTTGGGTGGGTTCCAGTCTCCAGAGTTGTCTTTCCAAGCTTACCGCCAACCGACCATCGATCGCCATTTTGCAGACCGACACCTCGACGTGATGGCTAGTATAGTTGTCGACTCACCGCAACTAAGAACTAGATAACTAGAACCCATGATGATTTGGGCCGTCGTCCGCGACAGTCCATGACGGACCCATCAGACGTCCCATGTGTCGTCCTCGTCTTCACTCGTCCACCCATGCCGAACCCCGAAGCTACTGAAACGAAGTGCCCACTCGTTGCTTTCCCCGGACTGCCGATAGGGTCATCCGGTGGCCGGTATCCAAAGAGAGAGAGCATGGCACATGGGTGACGAGGGGGGGGGGGGGGGGGCCACATCCGCGGCCTTCCGGAATTGCAGCCAAAAATCCACAATACCCCCTCGGCTAGCCCAGAAGCAAAGAGAGGCGACTCCATCGGTATCTAACCCCAACGTCGAGACCAGGTATGGCCTCTTTTGCGGTCGTGATACACCACCACCACAGGGTAGAGAGACCGGGGCCAAAGGGCGGCATTGGGGCCCAGTACCAGATCGCAAAGGAGGTCCCCTGGGCCGGTGACAAACTCGCAGTAAAGTCGATGCTTTGTATCAAGGTCCCCTGCCGAGCATCAAATGTCGACGAAACTCCCGCCCACATCCAGAGCCACGGCACTCTGAACTTCCCGTTCGTCCTTTCTCTATGCTGCCACAGGGAGAGATGGCTGGCGGCCTCTGATGATGCTCGTCAGACCACCGGCGCCCTTATTGGCAAGTCATTCAAACGTCAAAGTCGAAACCTTGGCGTCGGCTACAGCGTCGGCTACCCTACCACCAGGAATCCAACAAACTTGTCGGGGGACGATTCCTGAAGCCTTGAAACTTTGATTTCCAAATCCCATGCCCTTGCGCTGTTCCCATTCTTGTTTGTCCCATCCCAATACAGAGAGTACCGGATACACTACTCACCCCCCTGAGAGGTCCACCGCCGATAACACAACTTTGACTCATGGCATTTGAACTTTCCTTGGGCCCCCGTGGTCCCTCGAATGGCGGTCGTGATACACCTACACACACATTTGGGGTCCATGATAGGGTTCGAAAACCCCAATCGCGATGCCATTCCCTCCCTCATCGCACACACACCAATATTTGTCGCTATCGTGCCTTCAGCAAAGTGCTTGACGCCTGTACGTACTCGCCAAACCCACTTGCCTTAGTCGGGGTATCCAAGACGCCGCCCTGTTCCCGAACGCCCCCATGCTACTACCTATTCTCAACCTCCCCGGTCAATCGTTCCCATGTCCACCCATGTCCACCCATACCCGGGTGCCCGCTGTGAGACTCGGCCACGGGATCGTTCCACTGGAGCGAGCAAGTGCGCAGCAAGCATAAACAGGCGACGACAGCAGACCAGCTAGCGACATCGCATTGCTTCGGTGGGGAGCTCTGGGCGCATGCGTAGTGGCCAATGCCATTAGATGCGCGCTCGCACGCGCGGAAACACTGGGACGGACGGACGGGCGGACGGACGGACGGACGGATTAGTGGACGAAGCTCTCTCTATTCACTGTTTGTTCAAAGCACCTACTGCGCCGGGGACTGCGACAGGTGTCGTCATCAAGCGCAGACTTCGGTCTCTCCCAGCAACTGGCGCCAGCGGGGCCAGGGCGCATGGAAATATGCCCCCATCCCCTCGTCAAAACAACAAGGGCAAACGAGACCTCTTCATCACCGCACGGCGCACCGAACTCCTTTTTCCTATTAGTGTGAGCGACGTTGCAAAAAAAAAAAAAAAAAAAAAAGGAAACAAAATAAAAACCCCAATATAGGGCGTTCGAGACGGGGGTAAGAGGGAAAAAAATCATCATCTGCCGTTTGGCGAGATTGGGAATTCCTCTCGCGCCCCTTGCAAAAATGGACGGACCGTCTAACCCCCCTTTTCTTTGAGGAATGGAAGCATTCGAGGAAGAAAGGGAACAAGGCACCCGCTCCGACGGGTCCCATTGCCGACGCCCATCAAACGGAAGGCAAGTGAGAGACAAGAAGAGAGCGAAGAAGAAAAAAAGAAAGCATAGGCGAGCAGGGGGCGCGCGCTCATGTAAGTGAACCGACTGTCCGGACCACTGCAATCTCCTCGAAAAGGAAGGGGGAAAAGGCCACTGGCCCAGCCCAGCTCGGCCAATTACTGTACGTTAGCATTGTTCTGTTCCTGCTTCTCTTCATGTGTCTCATTCCCCCTCATTTCCTTCTCATGTCTCACGGGCCAACCGAGACTGCCCAATGTCGAGGACAGACAGACAAGACAGCCTTCAGTGTGCGAGAAGGACTGGACCGTCGTGGCCCATTGCCGGTCGCCAAAGGGAGAGATAGATAGGCACTCACGGCATTACACAGCTACCCTGCCCTCCGCCCGCCTCAAGCGCGTTGCGTTGCGACGCGCTTCTCTGACACGGCTGCAATGACACCTGGACCTTGACTTTGGCTCGTTCCCAGCATCATCAGCCCAGCTGAGATCCAAGGCCACACACCCGCACTCACTCAAAACCAGGAGGCCGACCATACCAAAAGCATACACATGTACCCGAGGGAGGGGCGTGTCCCTAACGGTCAGCTGCTTCGATGCTGCATGGGAGGGGGCCCTTTATTGAGTTTGCGCCGTTGACAGGCACGTAGCCACCGGGTACCTCGCGGTACTCTCTCCCGTCCACGGCTCTCTCCCGCCCACGAAACCCACACCCATCGCGATATCTCGCCCTCTCCACCCGCAGATACACAAATACCACCACAACTAGAAATAAAATAAAATATAAGGAAAGGAAGAAACCAGACCAGCCCAGGAGGCGCAATGTTCGCAGGTGTAACTCGAAATGCCACGGAATCACAGGTACTCGTCTCATGCGGAGAGCTGAGCTAGGTAAGCGCACGCCGCGTTGCCCATGCATGCATGCATGCTGGCGTCGATAAGGTGATGATAAGCCCGTCGTCTGTCGTCGAACAAAACCCATCCCCGCCCTCCTTGTCGCCTCCTCCTCCCTCCATAATTCCCAATTTCGTCCTCCCCCCCCCCCCCCCCCCCCCCACTCCGGCTGAGGCGCGCATCTCTTTGGGTTTACACACGCGTCCAGCAGCAAGCGTCCTTTGTTGCCCCGGATTTCGTAGCCCCGAACCAAGAAGAAGACGACCATCGAGTGCCCTTTCGTTCCCCGCGCCTGTAGTTTCTCGCCCGCGCTTGTTCCTCCCCCCCCATCGGTCGAATCCGTTGCTTATTCCTCGTCATCCTTCACCCGGGCCCCGCTTCACATGTTCCCGACCCGAAAAAGGAAAGAAGAAAAGAAGAATGAATCCTTCCTCTTTGTAGTTTATGTCGCCAGGTCCGATTCCGCCCCCCGACTAACCAAGGTATGTCGCTCATGTATCACCCCCCTCTCTTCCTCTCCCCTTCCCCTCGTTAGGATGAGGTGATGGGTAAGATGCCATGCATCCCGTATCGGGATACGATGCGGGTGTCTGTTCGGTACCTCGCGCTCCTGATCCGAAGAGACCACATCGCGCTGGAGGGACTATGACTACCGTTGGGGTTTCAACAAAAGCCCGGTTTCCTGGCCGCAGCACGTCGTGGGCCCTGGAATTGCTGATTTGTATCGACACACACACACAAAGAGAGAAAGAGACAGAGTCAGGCTCTCCCCCGGAATTCGCGCATACAATCCACGTCGCACGCCCACGAGCGCAGCCATCACGTTGCGCCCGCCGTCTTATCTGATTGGTCCCACCATCAGCCGTGCAAGTCGTGTATCACGCCGCCCCAGATTGCCCCCCTCCCTCCTCCAAGGCGCAAGAGCCACAGGGCAACCATTCTTCGTTCCTGGAAACCCTGCGTTACGACCAGTAGGGCAAAATCGAAGAACAACAGCAAGTTGACTAGTGTGGTGTGTGTGTGTGTGTGTGTGTGTGTGCCTACTGGTACCTACGTTTCGCCGTTGTGGGCACGTTGTTTCTGTTTCCCTCGTCGGCTGGAGCCCACGACGAAGCAGTCGCCGGACATGTCATCGTCGATCGTCATCGAATCAGACTCGCCCGTTGTGATCCGTGTCCGTCAATCCACCGACGAAATCCCACGTTGTGGCATGCTGCGTCGTCGAGGCTTCGGGCTTTTACACTGCAAGCTTCGATTCAACGACGCCCCTCTCCCGATGCTGCCCTCTTCTCGCCCGTCCACCTCTCTCTCAACCCCCCTCCCTCACCGAGACGTGGGTCTTCGACAGCTTGTCCGCCCCCCCCCCCCCCCCCCCCCAACCATGTGCGACTACTCGGCCTGTAGTGCCCTCCGCCTTTGGACCGATTCCTATCCGGGCTACCCCTCCCACATCGCGCCGTCACCACTACAACTCGCTGCAGTGACCTCTCACCCCGCTTCTCGTCCAAGATATCACGGCGGCGGGGGGGGGGGGGGCTCATGTCACACCCCCTCCATGCCCTCTCTGCGTCTTCCCGACCTCTTCCGTTCACCTGCGTGGTCCCGATCAACCGGTTAACATGAACCGGCGTCATGCTTCTGCTGCTGTTCCTCAGAGCAGCCTTGGTCTTTGGAAACGTGACGATATATCGCGCCGTCTGAGCTAGCCAGCCGCGCCGGTCGTCGGAACTTGGCAATGCGCCAGTCGTCACACCCACGTTTGGATTCTGGTGGGCACGATGGATAAGAAAGCCTCGACCCGGGATCCCTGTTGCGCAATGGAGTCATGCTGCCGCGACAACCTCGCTTGGGATCATCCCACTTCGTTTCGACACATGGACGTCTTGTTGAACCAACAGGGCTGTGAGCCCTTATCTGGATCGCCAAAAGGTTACGCGCCAATCGACATGTATTCGCGACACGCCTAGTGCCATGGTCAGCGCGCGTGGGCAAGTCGGCCATGGGGAAACCCTGACTTACCGCCTTGAGGACGTTGAGGCGCTCTTGGGAGTCCCGGAATACCTGCCGGTACTGGCCTAGACTTTCCCGCAGCACGGCGTCCTTGGTCATGCGCCCGTCGCATATCGCCTTCATCTTGTTCTCCATCTCCTTGCGCAAGAAGGGCTTGCCCAGACTCGTTTCGAATTCCATGCGATCGAACCCTGTGATGAGTGCCACGCCGAGCTGTGTCGGGATGAAGACCTTGAGCCCCCTCCGCCCCCCCGCCGACGACGCGCCGCGACCCCCTCTGCCACCCCTTCCGCCGCGACTGCCACGCCCCCCGCGACCCCCTCTGGCTGGCGGCGACGGAGGCCCATCCTGGTCATCGTCGCCGTCATCGCCGTCCTGGCCACGTTGGCCGCCATCCGCTAGCTGGACGTACTCTCTGTCTTGGATCTTCTGGATGTGCTCTGCCATCGTCGCGTCTGTACCGATCCCGTTGGCGTCCATGAGGGCGATGAGGTCGGCTTCCGTGAGGTATCCGGGCGGGCTTGTCTTGCCATCCGTCATCATCGCCTCTGTCGGCTGGAAGGACTCGCCCGGCGTGAACTGCGGGAGCTGCGCAGAGTCATTCCATTTTTCGTAGACGAAAACATCGAGGTAGTTGCGCTCCAAGACGACCAGTCCGCGCGCGTGGAAAGTCTCCTCACCGTAAAGGATCTCCACGTCTGTTGCGAGGCCCTTGGCGTCGTCTGAGCAGCACGCCAGGAACCGGCGCACGACGTACTCGTACAGTTGCTTCTCGTCCGGGTTGAGCACCGTAGGTGCTGCGTACGTTACGGGATGGATGGGCGGATGGGCCTTGTCATCGTGTTTTCCCTCGCGCGGCTGGTGAAAGTTGCTGTCTAAGAGACCCTGCGCATGTTCTCCCCACCTGTTGTCGGACGTTTGCTTCCTGACCAGCGCCTTCAGATCCATGCCTTTGTCGAAGCGGTCTGTCTCGGTTCTAGGGTAACTGATGAACCCCTTGTTATAGAGGCCTTCCGCGATTGTCATTGCTTGCTGTCCACTCATGCGCAAGAGGCGGGTCGCCGCTTTCTGAAGCTCGACGGTCGTCAGGGGTAGAGGCTTCCACTTCCTCGTCGGCTTCTCCTGGACCTTTGTCACCTTGGCCTTCTTCGCCCTGATACAGCGCTCATAGAGGATGACCACAGACATCCGGTCGAAGAGTCGGTTCCGTGACCAGTTAAAGTTGACCTTCTTGCCTTCGCGAGAATGCATGACCTTGATGCTCCAGAACTGCTCGGGGACGAAGTTCTGAACCCGAAAATATCGATCGACAACGAAGCCCAGGGTCGGAAATTGGCACGATCCTAGGTGTGTTGTTAGAAGGTATACGAGAACCAATGCAAGAGCTTACCGTAGCTGATGGTTCGTTCTTGCAGAGGCCCGCCAAGCGGTCGAAGGCTGATAGTCAGGAAGCGGGTGAAGGCATAACCGATTCGGAGGTCCAGCTCGATTCGCGCATCCACGGCGTCGACTTGCTTTTGGTCTAGGTCCGTCAAGCGTCGTGCAGCAGTCAAAATATGTCTAGGTCGTGTCAGGAATATCGCCATCCCACAGACAAGGAGATACATACGCTCGCTCAATGTTGCTGAACGTGGCGCGCTTGACGGCAATTCTGTTGTTGCCTTTCTTGGCGGCATTGACAATCTCCTTTCCGATGTGCTCTCCCTCTCGATCGCAATCCGTCCAGATGATGAGAAGCTGGCAATATCGGGCCTGGCGTTCAATGTTCTCGGCTACGGTCTTCTTGTCCTGGTAAAGGTCAGCAACTGCAGCATAAAGAGAGCAATATTAGAAAGGTCATACCTGTGGCACCACGGTGACGACTGGTGCTGTGAATAGGCTCTCAGGAGGTGGATGCGACCAGTTCTTGTTCTCGTCGGTGAATTCGAGCCCCGTGAGATGGCCAAGGACAGCGGTCATGGTAACGCTGCAGGAACCCCATGGTGCGCCAAAGTCGAAGTCGAAACCGTAGTTCTTGATGTACTGAGAGCGCGTGTTGTGCTGAAAGAGAGGTGAGTCTCGGACGGGAATACGGCAAAGAGTCTGCCCGGGCACTCACCACTTCAGGGTTCCGTCCTGCCAAATGGCCAGCAACGGCCTTGGAGATGGACGGCTTCTCTGCGACACAGAGGACTTTCATGGTCTCGCTTTAGAAGCAGCGTGAAGTTCACGAGAGTGGAGTGACGTATGATGGAGGCGGCTGGTAATGCTTGCTCGCATATTCTGGACATTCATCCACGGGTGTCTTGATAGAAGTGCAGGAGCACGATACGGTAAACTAGTGTCCTGCCCGAGGAGACGCGTCCTTGATAGGCAAACGCGTCAAGCTCTTCTCCTGGGATCCTTTGGCCACGGCAACTTTAAGACTTTAGGAGCATATGGAATGTGTTCAGTGCAGCCGGTTCAGCTTGCAACTGTTAGGTTCTGAACCTCGCGTCTTCCCAGTTTTCTTTGTAACCCTGAGCCGCGGGAACGTGTACAAAATGTGGCGTCTTCTCAGCGAAAAGTGAAGTTTTAGAAGGTCGAGGTGAGGTTCAGCTGCCCCTCGTTAGCAGCCTGGTGCACCCCACAGCGGGGCTGCCGCGCTGATTGGAGCTGTGTTTGGAGCGCTGAGCCGTGCCGTGCCGTGCACGCTGCGCTTCCCTGGTCGCCAGCTGGCGGTCTCGCTCACAGATGGATGCCACCATGATCGGCTATTGGGTACAGGCTAACTAACATAAGCCAACCGATCTAGTTCGACATCTCATTGCTGGAGCATTCGGAGGAGGATGGATCTATGATGATGGTAGATCTGTCTATGACGGTCCCGTTATACCCAACCGTAGAGCTCGGAGAACGGACCATCGGTGGTCAAAATGCCCAAAGAACCCCTGCACATGCACAGAGCTCGCGGTAGCTACGGGACCTGGATTTTCCAGTCCTCCCCAACCGGGCCGATCTATGACGCGCTTTGTTTGTACCGTCTTCACACTAACAAGACCTTTGAACATAACCCATCGCGACCCCTCCGCTCACCACCTTGCTGTGCAATTGCAACTGCAACGTCTTGCAACAGAACCAGACGAGCAGCGTATACCACAAGACACAATGGCGCTGCCCTCAGTCAGCTCCCTCGAGGAGTGCTCCGAGTGGGCCAGGGTCGCCGAGCCCTTCATCCCGCAGCTCCTCGACCTCCCGCGCAAGATTGCCGCGAGCCCGCACTCGCTCCCCCAGATCTATCTCGAGACGAACCCCCTCGTCTCGGGCTTTGCCTTCTCCCTGCTCATCGCCCTCATCACCCTCGGTCTGTCCGAGTACCACAGGAACTACTCCCAGATCGACCGCCTGTGGAGCTTGCTGCCCAACTGGTACGTCCTGCACACGGCTGCGTGGGCGTACCTGAATGGCGAGCCGTCTCACAGAGTCGCTCTCGCCGGTGTCGCGACCACTCTCTGGAGCGTGAGTATTCCGATTCCTGCCCCGTGTAAAGCCACTTACTAAATATGTTCCCCGCAGGCGCGACTGACCTTCAACTACTGGCGCAAAGGAGGCTACGAGCGCGGAAGCGAAGACTATAGATGGTACGCAGAATGCCCCTCTGCAACCAACCGGTCCTGCTTAGCATGACTAACAATCCTCGACAGGGAAATTGTCCGTGACTACGTCCCCGGCTGGGTCTTCTTCATCTTCAACGTGACCTTCATCTCCTTCTACCAGTCCATCCTCCTCTTCAGCTTCTCCGCCCCACCCGCCTACGCCCTCTTCCTCGCCAGCCGCATCGAGCCCGAGGTCACCGCCGCTGACTGGTCCTTCTTCTCCATCATCGCCGGCCTTGTACTCAGCGAGTTCATCAGCGACGGCCAGCAGTGGGACTACCAGAACGCCAAGGCCGCGTACAAGAAGGATGCCAAGGTGCCGCGCGGTTGGGCGCAGGAGGACCTCGACCGCGGTTTCATCACGAACGGGCTTTGGTCGTACAGCAGGCACCCCAACTTCTTCGCCGAGCAGATGGTTTGGTTCGTGCTGTACCAATGGAGCTGTTACGCGACCAAGGTCCTATACAGCTACACGGGCGCGGGCGCCGCGCTCCTCATCATGCTGTTCCAAGGCTCGACGTGGCTGACCGAGTTCATCACCTCCGGCAAGTACCCCGAGTACAAGCACTACCAGAAGCAAGTCGGCATGTTCATGCCCAAGTCGCTTTTCCCGTACTCCAAGCCGCAGCCCAAGGTCATCCGGACGAGTGAGCTTGCCGAGAGACAGAGCAAGAAGAACAAATAAACTCGGCAACCATCGGCTAGGCTATTCACGGACAGTCGGGCCTGTCATCTAACATATCTTGATGGAGAGGGGCCAATGAGGCGCTCTGTAGAGACGGCCAAAGCATGTGTGTGTACTTCTAGGGGATTCTTCTAGTCCTAATGCGGTCTTTATGGAGTTCATCTATACATTCGGAGCCTGTAGTCATAGCAATCATAAACCCCTTCAACCTGATGTTCATCAACCCCCCCCCTCTTAGGCATCAAGCTTCAGGCTGGCCAAGCTGTCCACGTAGTAAGCCGGCACGGCGACGGCGCCCTCCTTCTCCCAGTCCTCCTTCTTGTTCACACCCGTCAGCACGGCCAATGTGCCGCCCAGCTTGCCCTCGATGCCGAACTTGATGTCGGTATCGAGGCGGTCGCCGATCATGCACGTCCGCTCGCGGTTGACGTGGAACTTGCCCTCGATGGCGTCCATCATGGCCTGCGAGGGCTTGCCCAGCGCCAGGGGCTGCTGCTGCGTCATGTTGACGAGCGGAATGGAAACGGAGCCGGCGCCGGGGAAAAAGGTGTGGGACATGGGCAGCGTGCTGTCCGTGTTGGTGGCGAGGAAGACGGCGCCGCGGCGGAGGTACTGGTAGCCCAGCGACAGCTTCAGGTAGTTGATGTGAAAGTCGAGGCCGGCCAGGACGACGCCGACCTCGGGGTCGAGTGCGGAGCCGTCGGCGATGGAGGCGAAGTCCTCGGGCGTGATGTCGCGGCGGAGGGCCGGGTCCGTGCCGCCGATGAAGTCGACCCCCTCGGCGCGGAGCTCGGCCTCGATGCCGGCCTCGCCGATGACGAAGACCTTGCGCTTGCCGGCGGGCAGCTCGAGGATGCGGGAGACGTAGACGGCGGAGGAGTAGGCGGAGCCGAAGATGTCCTCGACCTCGGATGGGATGTCGAGGGCGGCGAACTTCTTGTGGTAGTCAGGGCGGGACTTTGTCGAGTTGTTGGTCACGAAGACGGTGCGCTTGCCTGTTGGTTGGGGGGAACAATGATGAGAACTCGGTGGAAAGTGACGTCTGTGCGTGTGTGTGTGTGCCAAGGGACAGTCAAAAGGTTGAGATATGTTGGGGTATTTGAGGTTACTGGGGAGGGATGAGGGGAGCGGGGGATGATCATGGGATGGGTGGGCAACCTCTTGAGCGAAGAAAGGCGAGAGTCTCGCGGATGCCATCGAAAAGGTGGTCACCGGACCAGAGGACACCTATTCCGGGGCGGTGCAGTGGTTAGCCGGGTTCGGACGAAGAGCACTGCCTCCTCCGGATAGGAGACCGCGAGATGGATTTACCATCGCAATCAATCAGAAAGACCTGGGTTCACCTCGCCATTAGCCATCGCTCATTGCGCTCATCTTCTCTCATGCCGCCATCGTGAGATGCTCAAAAGAGTGAAGAAAATGACTCAGATTGAGGTGAGGGGCGGAGAGGGGGGAGGGAGGCTGTCCGCTCACGTCAAACTTGTCGAGGAATTCTTGGATGGCGGGGGCATCGCCGGTGAGGTATTTGGGCTGCTGAGACATCGTGACTTTTCAGAGGCTTCAATGTTTCTTTGTCTTTTTTTTTTTTCGGTGTCAACAAAACTCTAGGACACCAGGTATGAGATGCAGCAGTGAGTTTCGGAGATTGAGGGCCAAGCGTGTGCATTTGCGGGCGGAATGCGGGCGGGATGAGACGGAAGTGGGAAGTGAAGTTGGACGGCCATCGTCCGATTGGTCAGGCATGTCTGCGGCGGCGTTTTTGCGTGTTGCGGCTGGTTTACGGGGGCGGGTCAGTGCTGGTATTGCGGTCTTGAGATTATCAAAACCTGGGGGAAGGAGAGGCGGGCTGAGACGGTGCGGTATCGGCTTGCTTTGAGATGGGGAGAGACATGTAATTTCTCGGCTCGTGCGCAGTGAGCTAGGCATGTTTCTGAACGTAATTAGGTAGCTGGGTAGGTCTATCGTCGAGAAAGAGGTGGGACAGTTCAGTCAGACCTGGAATGAACAAACGATGAAATCTCGAGAACCCCCATCCCTCTTTTCAATTTTACAGGCTTCCCCGGATTTCATCCAGCGTCACTCAAGGCAGCCTCAAGAGAAAGTCAATCGCATCCATACTAGTCACCTCTTCTCCAGACTCACTCTCGTGTCCCCGCAAGCGAAACCGGACCGCCACGAGCTGCAAGGCGCGGCCAACCCGCATTCTTATCTATTTAGTATCAATGGAACATGCTCATCCCGAATATCAACGCAGTGGCAGGCTAGGCAGGGCGCGCCTGTACGGGGCAATTCAACAGAAGTGAAACAAACACCTGCATGACCCAGAAAGGATGAGGAATGGCACCTTGGCACACATAGTTTCCCCTCACTCTGCTATTCTTGCCGGGCAGCCAACGACGCCACGTTCGTTTTAGACCAACAGGACGTCGTATATACCGCCATTCAACAATGCGAAACCCGGGTGGCGTGAATAGGATGCAAGACACGGAGACAACCTGCAGACTGCAGACTACCGACCACCCACCCAGCTCGCTCCTGTCGCACGCGGGAGCGGGCGTACGAAGGCCACGATGATGCGCCACCCCCCGCGCGGACGAAGGAATCAAGCGCACACGCATCTCCGAGTGCGGAGTTGCTACATCCTGTCGGACTTGCATGGCATGTTGTGTCGGCGCCTTTATCCCGTTTTCGATGCTTACTACGATGACCCGCTTTTCAATCAGTAACTCGACCTGCATTCTGATGCAAGTCGGGCCTATCTGGCTCTGTCGGCGACGGCGATGCTGATTACCAAGGCAGGTGACGTCACCCCGTCGCAGAGCAGCAGCGTGTTGCATGAGTCGTTGAACGGTCTCGCCGGTGGTGGCGTCAATAACGATTCTTCCATATTGGCCTTTCTAATTTTCTTCTATTCTCTTTGATGGTGTTTACACTATTCTACCCTTGTGACATGTGTGCAGATCCTCCCTCTTCAGCAGATCACGTATCTCATCGCTCGTGCTCAATCTTCAACCTAGAAATGTCTGAGATCCCCCCACCAAAAGCCCCGAGACCTCTATGTGTGCCGCGAAAAGCACCAAGCACGAAGCCGTCCTTGGCCGCGTCCAAACCAAACTAGTTGGTAAAGGGGGCCGCTGGACGGAGGGGCACGAGTGTCGATCAGCGGCACCCTTCGAGTGGGAAAAAAAGGGACACCACTAGTGGCCCCCACCGTCCTCGAAGGGACTAACTACCCTGGGAATCGGTCGACTTCCCAGCTGCACCTGCATGCCAAGTGTCCGCGGCTCCTCTGTTCGCTTACAAACCCCTACCTCGGGCCCACGGCTTGATATCTCATCCATCTTACCACCGGGACCGAGGCGGCTCGTATCCGACTCTAGTTTTGGCATGCTGTCGAGGCACTGAGTTTGCGAGAACCGGTCATCCGCGGGCAAGTGCACTGCAGGCTTCATTCCTAAGGCGGTGAAGGTAAGTCAATGAATGGACGCCTCACCGCTTTCGCTTGTTTCACCGACAGGCTGAGACCCTGGGGACTGAGCGTGGGGGTATGACAATCTGAAGAAGGAAAGGACATGGATCGTGACTTTTGCTCTCCCCTCAGAGGCCTAGACCTTCTTCCGGGGATAGAGCACGGGATGCCGATGTTGGAACGTTGAAGAGGGTGGGGTGGGTGGTTGGCCAGTCCTACCTCACGCATGGCTTAGAAAGAAAAGCTGGTAGGAGAGCTGAGGTCCAATATTGGTTGGTACCTACGGAGCAGGTATCTAGGTGAAGCGGAATCTCGCCAAGCAGTAGCGAAAAGCAGCAAATAAAATACAACCAATAATCCACTAGTCCAGCCCGATCCGGCTCAACGCATCTTGTCCAGAAGACAACTGCTCTGATTCACCGAGTCCGCTGGCTTTCCATCTGGTCCTTTCGGTCCGGTTGCTCCTTCCCACAAAAGACATTGACCCAAGATAAGAAAGACAAAAGCGTCTTTCTTGTCTGTTTGCACGTTATAAAATCTCTTCCTTCCCTGTTCGCCACATCTTTGACTCTACGGCCCCACGTACCTACCCTTTCTCGATCCATCAGCAGCATCCGGCACACAACATAAATACCGACTCCTTGACCTTCTTCAACCTCGTTGGCGATCGATCCGGATTTCTTCGACTCAGTACCTACAAGGAGAGAATCAAGCATTGATACAATAACCTGAAAGAGCAGTTCTCCGCTACCCACCTACACCACGTTCAACCCACACGGTCCCTGCCTCGCACCTTGCTTACAGCTTTGCTTTCTCCGATACCCTACCTATCTCACACTAATACCTTACCTTATCACCCTCCTCCTTCTTCCTCCAACAACGCAGATCCTTGTCGCAGAAAAAAAAACCACGGCAGAAAACCATCCCGAGGAACCTAACGCTTCCCTACCTACCCACGCGCGCGGCACGCTATCGATCTTATTTTTCTCCACTGCCCAAGACTTCCGTCTCATCAATACTGGGACCGAAAAAAAAAGCACCAGCATCATCAAATCACGTCACCCCACAATCCGTGCTCATTTTCGGCCCCGACTTTAATAGCAGTCATGGCCCCCGTCACACTCACCGAGGACCAGCTTCTTGGCCTGCGTTCTATTCCCCCCTACGACTACAGAATGGCTTCTCACACCAACACCGCCCAGACGCCTGCCACCGCTTCCACCGACGCCTCCTCCCAGGCCGACTACTTCACCTCCTCGCTGAGCTCGGCCACCAACTCGTCTCGCAACTCGGTTGAGCTCCAGGACGGCGTTGTTACCGTCGAGACCCCTGGCGGCACCATCACCACCCACAAGACCAAGAACCGCCTGCCACCTCTCTCCCGCGAGTTCCCCAAGCCTACCAAGGAAATCGACGTCGAGGAGGCCCTCGCCCGCAAACCCGGCCGCTGGACCGTCAGGGGCGCCCTCGCCGTCGAGAGACCCGCTCAGGTCGTCGACGAAGAGATGCTCAAGGCTCAGCGCCGCCAGGCCCTAGAGGACGCCAAAAAGGAGCTGTTTGCCGCCAGCGAGATGCTCAAGACCACGACGCTTCCGTCCCGCAAGGGCGTTTAGGCGACGTACGAGAACAGCTGTGGTGTGGCTTTGGAGCAACCTGACCAAGAAGATGGTTGCCAAACCATCATCACCACCACCCACGAAGCACCAATTGCGACAACTGCATTTTCATGTTCCTGCATTTTCAGTAAACTTCGACACTCGGCTTTTTCGGCACGCGAACGGACTCGCGGCGGTCACCAGGTGCCAGTCTGAGAAGATACCCAGCTAAGAGCGTGTTAAGAACCGGGGAATAGCACCCGGACGATCCGAGACAGTGGACAGAGGGTATCAGACGGCAGGAGTGTTTCGGCGCAGCAGCAGCGCACAGAGAGCAATGCCATTAACATTACCCCGGGAAAGGAAAAGGGCGTTTCATTCGAGGCTGAGTCATGGTTTTTGTTCCGCAATCATGGCAATGGAGAGAGAAAAAGGAATTGGGATGGGGATTCTCTGATAAACAATGCTTGCGTATTCATTTCTTGCAGTGGTGTGCCAACCTGTGCATACAATGATGCTTTTGAGCAGATCCCAATAAATGGCTTTGACCGACCTAAACACTTTAATCCACGAGAACCGTTCCCTTACACTATTTATTGTACATGGAAGATGGCCGGCTTTTTCTTCTTTTTTCTCAGTCGAGGCGCGCGGCCAGTGTGAAGCCATACTGGATCATGGCAATGAAGCCGGCGAGGTTGATGAGGGTGGAGATGCCGTGGAGCTTGCCGAACGACTTGTTGAGGGCTTGCATCTCCTGCGAGTGAGGCGCGGGGTCGTAGCTCTTCTTTCCGTCCTTCTTCTCTGTAACGGTCTGCTGTCAGCCGCTTCCGTCCGTGCGTTTGCTTTTCCCCACGGAACACAAGTCATTTGCACACGTACCCTGTGCGTATCTGGCCTTCATGACGGTCACGGTCTTGGGCAGGACGACGACGAGGTTGACGAGGCCGGTGACGAACATGGTGGCGATGGGCAGCAGCGCGCTGTAGCGGTTGGACTCCTGGAGCAGGCCGCTGATGCTGCTGTCGTGCCCGCCCAGGAGGCTGCGGCTGCCCGGGTACGTCAGGGCGAGGACGACGGGGAGGGCCGTCTGGATGGTGAAGTAGACGGGGAAGAGGGCGTTCTGGGCGGTGGAGAAGGCGGGCCGCTCGAGGACGCGGAACATGGTGATGCCATTCACGAAGGACTTTTTGCGGTCGATGCGTTAGCCACGTCGCGTCATGATGGTTTATTCTCTTCTTTTCTTTTTCTTTTTCATGAAGGGTCATTTGTTCTGCATCGCACGGCGGGCGACTTACATGGAAGAAGGTCGTTCCCAGGAGCGCGCCATAGCTGAGCCAATGAGGTTAGGCATTGATGATGCAAGACCTTCTTCGGTCGTGTTGGTTCATGAGGGCGGGGTTACGGCTTACGAGATGATGTGGTACGGCCCGGGGGAAAAGATGACGGAGTCAGACATGATGGGCGGTCGTGATTATTTGCAAGGTGATTTGACTGTTTGTTAGCTACCTACTCGCCTGATTGGAGTTGGAGTCGTTGAAGTTGAAAGAACGCTGCGAGGTTGCGTTGGAGGTCTGCAGTACCTATAACGAGGTGCCATCTGGAACGAGCGGCTCAGGAGGGGACAGGGGTCTGGTAGAATGTATGAGGTCACCTCCCCAATGCCTAGGTAGCGCCGTTTTGGCAAGCCGACGACAACGCTTGGAAACCACATGCTTTATTTGAGGAGACCCTATTCATGAGTCGCTCAGAGTTTGTGCTGCACATTGCTAAAGTTTTCCATCAGGGAATGCCGTGGATATCCTAAAGACCTGCCAGGGGAAAGAATGAGTACCCACTAATGAGAGTCCCATTGAGAACAACATATCCGTATTGGCTTGCGCCTGCTGCTTGTCGACGTCACGTGATCGCGCGATGACAACTCGCTGCGCTGCAGCTTAACGCGGTCCTGGGTCGCGCAGCAGCCTGGAGCTCGATGGGACCTCATCTGCCTAAATCGAGCCAGGGTCCAGGTCCAAGTTGGTACAAGTCCCGCTCGCCGTCGCAACGACATTCATCAACACCCGGATCTCCTTTTGGGCCTGTTGAATTATTTTTCCCTTTTTTTCCTCCCTAAGGGGCTCGCGAATCCAATGCCTGGTCCTTACTGAAATCACTAAATCACTTGCCCCCTCATCAACCTGCTCGCAATGGCCGACAAGGAGGCGTCAGTCTACATCGTCGACCTTGGCTTGTCCATGGCCAACTGCCACAACGGCCGCGCCGAGCCGGACCTGGACTGGAGCATGCGCTATGTCTGGGACAAGATCTCAACCACGGTCGCGGCCTCGCGCAAGACATGGACCGTCGGCGTCGTTGGTCTCAAGACGGACGAGACGCGGAACGCCATGCAAGACGACGAAGGGTACGAGAACATCTCCGTCTTGCAGGAGCTCGGTCCCATGACTATGACATCGCTGCGGGAACTCAAGGAAGCGATCAAACCAAGTGAAACGGCGAATGGGGATGCCGTCTCCGCCGTTGTCATCGCTGTGGACATGATTGAGGCTTTCACCAAGAAGCTCAAGTACAAGAGGCGCATCTATCTTGTCACTGACGGGTTGGCTCCAATCGATGGTGACGATGTCGACGCGATTGCGAAGAAAATTAATCAAGACGGGATTGAACTGATTGTCTTGTAGGTCTGGAAAGCCGTCGATTGGGTCGCCTCACTAACACAAGCAGGGGCGTGGACTTTGACGACGCAGACTACGGCTTCAAGGAGGAAGACAAACCATCCATCAAAGTCAGTGATCTTTTTTCATCACCGGCCCCGCCTATTCGACTAACGCCCTCTACAGAAAAAGAATGAGGGTATTCTCATGGACTTAGTCTCGAAATGCGACAACGCCCAGTTTGCAACTATCGCGGAAGCCATCGACGAGCTCGACACCCCGCGCCTCAAGCCCGTCAGGCCCTACAAGACCTACGACGGGCCCCTGACGCTCGGCCTCGCCGACCCGCCCCCGGAGCTCAAGATCCCGCCCACGCCCGTCGTCATCAACGTCGAGCGCTACTTCAAGACCAAGCAGGCCAAGCCCCCGACGGCCTCCACGGTCGTCGTGTCGGCGGCGGGCCAGGACGCCGCGTCGCAGTCGATGCAGACGGCCGAAGGCGACCCCATGGAGGGCGTCGAGTCGATTGCAGGCTTCGCGGCGGTCAAGTCCGCGAGGACGTACAAGATCAACGACCCGGACGCGCCGGGAGGTAAGCGCGACGTCGAGTTCGAGTCGTTAGCCAAGGGGTACGAGTACGGACGTACGGCAGTGGCCATTAGTGAGTCAGAATGGAACGTCACAAAGCTCAAGACTGTCAAGAGCTTCAGTATCATCGGCTTCATCCCATGTGAAAAGGTGCGATTCTCTCCCTCGCCATGGATGCCCTTTTATTTTAATTTTTTCACTTTTTTTACTCACTCTGACCTAGTACGAGCCGTTCCTCAACATGGGCGAGACCTGCGTGACTGTCGGCCGCAAGTTTGACGAAAAGTCGCAGCTCGCCCTCTCCTCCCTCATACACGCTCTCTACGAGCTCGAGTCCTACGCTGTCGCCCGTCTCGTGGTCAAGGACAACAAGGACCCCGTCCTGGTCCTCCTCGCCCCGTGCATCGAGCCGGACATGGAATGCCTCTACGACGTGCCCCTCCCCTTCGCCGAAGACGTGCGCGGGTACCAGTTCCCGCCCCTCGACCGGGTCATCACCGTCAGCGGGCAGAATATCACGGCAGATCACCGCCTGTTACCTGGTGACGAGCTTACCGATGCGATGAGCGATTACGTCGACTCCATGGACCTGAGCAGTTTCAGCGCTGACGATGAAGGGTAAGCGATCCTCGATCCTCGCAGGCGGAATGCAAGCCACGTCACTGACACTCGTGCAGAAACCCATCAGAGTACGCCGCCATCGAGGATACCTACAACCCCATCATCCACAGAATCAACCAGGCCATCCGCCAAAGGGCGGTCAACCCTGAGGGTGCCATCGACCCTATCCCTCCGATACTCGTCCGCTACGCCGCGCCGCCTGCGGATCTGGTCGAGAAGGCGAAATCCCAAATCGAAACCCTCATCTCTGCGGCGCAAGTCAAGAAAGGTAATGCAGCGAGCTCCGGCTCCCCCCCCCCCCCTCCTCTCCTATGCAGAACCCTGCCGCTGACAGATAAACCCTCCCCTACCAGTTCCCCCGAAAGCAAAAGGCAAGCGCAAGTATGAGGGCACGAAACCCCTGTCAGGCCTCGACGTCGACGCCCTCCTCGGCACGCAGCCCAAGCGCCCCAAGATCTCGGCGGAAAACGCCATCCCCGAGTTCAAGCGCGCCCTCGCCGTCGCCGAAGAAGTCGATGCGATCCGCGACGCCGCACGCCAGATGGGCGATATTGTCGCTCAGCTCATCACCGACAGCTTCGGCGACGCAAACTACGCCCGCGCCACCGAGAACCTCAGCGTCCTACGCGGTGGCCTCGTCGACCTCGAGGAGCCGGGGATTTACAACGACGTCATCAAGGGCCTCAAGACCAAGGTGCTCTCGGGGGAGCTGGGCGGCGACCGGCGCGAGATGTGGTGGAAGATCCGGACGTCGAGGCTGGGGCTCATTGACCAAGCGACATCTGAGGTGTCGGTTGTCACGAGTGAGCAGGCTGATGAGGTGTGTTTTTTTTTTCGTCCTTGATGAGACGTGATTCGACATCGCTAACATGGCTGCAGTTTCTGAAATCAAAATAATGGATGAGTTATGAGGCGGGCGTTCGTTCATGTATATCAGGAGTTATCAATGACGGATCTCCATCGAACCCGTACAACATGCCTGCTATGGGTCTTTATTTGCTTCTCGTCATCCTTTAGTGTTATGTGACATCGGCACAAGAGCCCATTCTCAGGCATCAGCCAACTGTCCTTGAGCCTCCATGTCCAGGTCCTTCTTCTGACCCTTATCAACTCTCGCCGCAACCGCCAGGCCAAGCATCGCTTGCATGGTGTAAGCCGCGTCGTTTCCCGCGTTATGGAGGTTGCTGTGCGGTATGCCCAGATCGGTGAGCACCGCGGCCAAGCTGCGGCCCTGTGTCTCCTGTCGCCAGGCCTGGTACATGTCCTTGGTGTCGAGGGTTCGGCTCATGACGCCGCCGACGCCCCATAACTCTACGTTCATTTTTTCCAGGTAGCCGATATCCGATCGTAGATCGTGGCCGAGCAGAACGACGTTGCGGAACCGCCTGTCGGCGTCGGCGATGCCCTCTTGGCCGGCGACGGAGAGGTTGGTGATGGCCGCAATGATTGAGGGGCCGAGGTTACTAAGCTTGGGATACTCGCTTATACTAACCTTCTGTTAGCCCGCGCTCGCATGACTTCTGTCTCGAAAAGACTTACCCAAAATTGAAGAGCTCGGGACAGCCTTTGATGTACTTGCGGTTGCGGATGTGACGATGCTCATCGGTGATGAGGTGGCGACTCCTGATGAACGGGACCCAGTTGCAGCCATTCTCGCCGGGCGAGACGCCGGCAATGTCCCTGGTGTCTAGTATCGACAGTCCGATTTCGAGAACGGTACCATGATGCTCCTCGGCAACCTCAATATCGATGCACACAAACACAACATCCTGGTCCCGGGCGTGGAGTAACGGCTTGTCCAGCGCGATCCGCCTGTCCTTCTCAGTGGCATCACTCGCCCTGGGGCGAAGACCGAGGTACAACTGTGCGTCATAAATCGACTCGTCACGGCTCTGGGCCTTCTGCTGCTTCTTCTTCTTGCCCTTGATCTTTATGTCTTTGTAGTTGTTGTGCATGTTGAGTAGGGACAGGAGCATTTCCTTGCCCAAGGGGGTGGCGTTGGAACAGGCATCGTCCACTCCCGGGGGCGGGATTGCTCCGCGGAGGGCACGGTACTCGTTGTGTGAAGCCGAGCGGGCGATGTACTTTGGGCGTATGGTGCAGCTCGAGCCGAAGTTGATGTAGAACATTTCGCCGGGCTTGCCGGGGGGGATGGTCAGCATCGTCTGGATCGAAGCGTTGATCACGTTAAGGAAGTGCTGGAATTGCTTGGTTGGGACGAAGATGTAAGGCATCCTGTCCAAGGCCTGAGGATGGTAGACATAGAAGCTGAACAAACGTTAGCGGATTGTTGAGAGACGCAACTTGTCGGAGCTGGGCTGAAAGGCTTACAAGTCCCAGATCTGGTCTTCAGTCATGTCATCAAAGAAAGGTTGGGCCTAAAGGATGTGTTAGCTGATCCCTCGTAGCTCATGGTGGAACTCGCCTTTGGTCGATTGGTCTTGCCGATGAAACTCAAGGGATATCTCTGAACTAGGTCCCACGCGACGAAGGCCATGCCATCCTCAGAGAGATCGCCGGCCCTCATGTTATTGAACTCTGGGAAGTTCTGCGAGATGAGAGCGTTAAAGTCGGCGGGCTCCAGTTTGTCGGACTTGGAAGGCTTGAGAGGCGGTCCAACGTAAGGAGGAGTCGCCTTGGAGAGAGTCGACTGAGTGATGGACTTGCCCTTGAAGGCAGCTTTATTGGCAGCGGTCTGACGATCCATGACGAGGGGATCTAGCACGATGGTCTCGGGGGTTTCTTCGACTTCATGGTGCGAAACTTCTTCGAAACGTATTTTGCCGCCAAAGGCCGTCACAAGACGCTCGATCTGCTGGGCTTGGGTGAGCGCCATCCCGATCGGAAAGGGGGAGGGACAAAATAGTTGTATGCAGAGAATCGATTGGTAAGATGAAGTTTGACTTTTTTTGGGCTTTTGCGCTGAACTAGGAAGGGGTGAAGTTCTCAGGATACAGAAAGAGGTTGGTAGCAGCTGCCACGACAGATGATCTAGTGGATGAACGAATATCTGTTGGCTGGTGCGGTGCTGATAAGTGAAACCAAATACAAACGGCCTTTATCCAGGCAGCTCAAATAGACAGTCAGGGCAAATGAATAGGCAGCAACGGGTGCAGTGCCGTACGCCGTCCCTTTCCCATCCGCAATTCTAGACTAGCTGGCTAGTACCCAAGTAATTAATATACAGAGCGTCTGGCTCACATGCAGAAGTTATAGCCGGTCATGCTGGGAACCAGAAAATGTGCTAAAAATGATACTATGCTGCTTATTTTCATAATTGTTCTCATCATAACAACCGTTTATGTACCTCGAGATTACTAGTTCCAAGCTTCTTAAGAGTCTTGCTGCAAACCAAATCAACGCCTGTCATCTATTGAAACTCTTTTCTTGGCTTTCCATTATATGTCTAGAGCTTGTTGGGATATTAAGATGCCTCTGCTTGTCGTACAAAGATCTAAGATCATCACATGTCGTTGCGGTTGATAAAGCACTGGGCAAACAAATACTTTTGTCAACCCAACTTTTGCCAAACTTGCTGCTACAAAGCCGTCGGCAATGCAGAACAACGCGACTATGTATTTGACCAACGATGATCAGCCTGGTACTGTAAATTGTTATAGTATTGAATCATTTTGTAAGAAGGGCTGGCCTTCCTGAAACTTCACACTTAGGGAGAGTAAAGAAACTGGTGATATCACCATCTGTAAATCATTCCGGTTTGACATTACTCGAACCCTCATTAGAAAAGAAGAGCATGGGTCATAGACACAGACGCTCACCAAGTTGAGATAAATATTGTGTGTTTATGGATATAGTCCCTCTAAACCCCCATAAGCGGTCTAGTGGAGTTGACTTGGTACAGATGTATTATCACGGTAAGTAATATAGTGTGTATACTTGGGAGAGAAGAGAGACGAGAGGGCCTCATGCCATTTTACATAATGTTACAACATGCCCCGATATCCAAAGACCAGTCCAGTCGCTACACAACCCTTATTTACCCCTTTCCTCAGAGGAAACCGCCCCAAAAAAAACGCCACCGCTATGAAGAACGACCAGTCTGATATTATTACAAGTACCCTCAACCGATAAGCATGACCTCCCCCAAGGAAGTTATGGTTCTAGGCACATGCGCACCCCTTCTTTTTCGTTTGATTTTTTGTCGCATTTCGCAGTCTCCAGCTTTCGAGGCCATTGGGATGGCTAGGGTCAAGATGTCGTTTTCTCGAGCAACTCCTTGGCCTCGTTGACCTTGGTCGCAAGGTACGGACTACCGCCGCGATCGGGGTGGTTGAGGAGCATGAGCGTGCGATGCGCCTTGCGAATCTTGTCACGGGTGACACCGCTTTCCCTAGAGGACATTATGTTAGCTACCGGGCTCTTGGCTTGGTAGTCGAACCGGCTCGCAAGACCGGACGGGGTTCGTGGCTTACTGGAGGGAGAGGATGAGGCAGGCCTCGCGCTTGTTCATCCGGGGCTCGAAGCCGCCCTTGTAGAAAGCCTTGCCCATCGCGCCCACGCCGCCGCGGGATCGGCGCCATGCGACAAGACCGGCTCGACCCTACAGGTATTTCGTCAGCCATTTGTTCACCAGAGTTACGGAGGCGATGGTAGACGTACCAGGAAAGCTGCAACGGCAGCGCCGGCTCCAACAGCGAGAACAGAAGCCATGATTTATGGGTTTCGTTTGTTTCGTTGGGTGTAGTGGTTGAGGATGGTGGATGGCTGCGGAAAAAGCGGGTGGTTATCGCGAAGAAGGTCCTGGATCCGGAGAGCTTTTTTTCTGGAGTTCGCCGCTCCAAAGCCGTGATGCGCCGGTGGGCTGGTCCGTGCCTTCTGCGACTTCATCGGAGAACATGTTCTTCCGCCCAGTAAGCCAGTGAGGAGAAAGAAAGCTCGAGCCAGGTCCCTTGGTCCCCGCCGGTGTTCTGGTCCCATCACACTCACTGGCTGGCTGCGCTGGGCACTGCCCCACCACAATCGATAAGCGGCGTCTGGGAGCGGCAGAAGAAAAATTTCTAAAAAACTTCCAGAGGCAAAGCTTCGATCACCGCCTTCCGCTGACCCTCTGTGCGTGTGAGTGTGTGTGGAAGCGTCGTCAAGAAAACAACACCTACAACCAAACCTTGTGACTGCCCCCCTCCCCACCGTGATACCTGTGAAGGTATCGACGCCGTCGCAATGAGGTACGTCTCTGCTTTATTCTTTCTTCCCCGGGGTCTACGACTGTTTCCAAACACATTTCTAACCCGTGATGCATCTAGAATCGAGACGTGCTACTTCTGCAGTCGCCCTGCTTACCCAAGCAAGGGCATCACCTTTGTCCGCAACGATGCAAAGGTCTTCCGCTTCTGCCGCAGCAAATGCCACAAGAACGTACGTCCTCAATGGCACCCTCCACCACCCCCGCGAAGAATGGAAACTAACAGCCAGACCAACAGTTCAAGATGAAGCGTAACCCCCGCAAGCTCAAGTGGACAAAGGCGTACCGCGCCTCGGCGCACAAGGAGATGACGGTCGACAGCACCCTCCAGTTCGGCGCGCGGCGCAACGTCCCCGTGCGGTACGACCGCGACCTCGTCGCCAAGACGCTCAAGGCCATGGAGCGCGTGTCCGAGATCCGGTCCCGCCGCGAGCGCGTCTTCTACAAGAAGCGCATGCAGGGCAAGCGCGAGCGCGAGATCGCCGCCGCCCGCAAGCTCGTCGCCGAGAACGAGCACCTGCTCCCGCGCCTGCGCGGCTCCGAGAAGAAGAGGCTGGCGGCCGAGGGCGCCACCGAGGACGAGATCGCCGCCCTCGAGGCCGAGGGCCGCGTGCTCTCCAAGAACAAGCCCGGCAAGGTCTTCGGCAAGGAGAAGATCCGCCAGCGCGTCACGGTCGACGGCGACGTCGTCGAGGAGCGCGAGGGCGTTATGCAGCAGGACGACGGCGAGTGGGACGACGACGATGCCGAGGACGACGACGAGGAGGAGGATGGCGATGTCGACATGGAGGACTGAAAACGACGATGGTGAGAGTAGAGAGGGAGAAGAGAAGGTGCCGGTTCACGTCTTGCGTACGACCAACCAAGCGTTTAGAGGAGGACAAAGACGAAGACAGAAGGCTAAGAAGAAAGAGACGAGATGCCAATCGATGGGGCCTCTCTGTCTCGTCTCCCCGTTTATGGGACTGGCGAGACGAGGCGGCTTTTTGGGAGGGCTTTGTTTTTACCGGGCGTTCAGGGATACAAAAGGGCGGTTAGCATCGACGGCGTTTGGTGGCTCTGAGAAGAAGGAATACCACAAAAAAGTTATCCGAGGTCCAGATTCAGATCGGCCCCCCCTTCGTCATCTCAGTCCGCCGCCTTTGCTTTCCCTCCCTGTCTGCAGGATGCCCGTGTCCTCCGCGGCCCGTCGAAGGAGCCAGTCGGAGGCTTTCTCATGTTACACGGAGAGGATGACCTCTGCTACCATGTCGAGCAAATCAGTGGGTTAGGAGGCTTGTTGCGGAAGAGGCACGACGCATGTCTATTCTTCTAGACAAGAGGAGCAAGCAAGATAGATGATGCTGCGAAATACGACCCCACGAATACAGCCCCCCCCCCCCCCCCCCCAAGTATCAACGCGAAAGTGAAAGCGCCCAAAACGAGCGTTGTGGGTATCAATATCTTAGACAGCCACACATCCCAGCTAATCCTTCCCCGCCCCCTCTGAACTCCAAGTGTTCCCAATACCAGCCGTCAGCAGTGGTGGCCCAACGTGATAAAAGACCTTGCTCTGCGGACACACAAACACACAAACACACGGACGGGAAACATCAGGCGCTCTCCTCGTCCTTCTTGGTGGCGTGCTGATACGCCCTCGGCGGCATCGGGAGCCCGGCCTCGACGTCCTCGATGATCTTCCTCTCCAGCGCCTGCTTGCGCTCGGCCTCGTCCTCGGCAGTCTCGCCGCCGCCGCCGCCGGGCACGCTCGAGTCCCCGTAATTCCCCGCCCCGCCCCGCCCGGAGGCGCCCCTCGCCGACCGCGAGAGGCTGGCGCTCACGGCCGCCCGCGTCTTGTCCGCGGCCTCTTCCTGCTGCTTGGCGTCCGGGAGGGAGGACGGGTCGTGGAAGTTTCCCGCCCCGCCCCGCCCCACGCGCGCGTAGCCACCGGCCGTCGGGGACCTCGGGCCAGTGGCCGCCGCCGCCGCCGTCGCGTTGGTGGTCTTCTGGGCCTCGAGGTCCTGTTTGTCGGGGGTCACCGGTGAGCATGTGTGTGGATAGGTGTCCATGACGTTCAAAGTCACAGACTTAAAAAAAAAAAAAACAGCCGTGTGGAGCGTTCACGCACCTCTGAGTTGGCCTTCTGAACGTTTTCGACGTCCTTCTTCGAGTAAAAGTTTCCGCTTCCTGCGAAAGAAAAAAAAAACCGAGCTTAGGGTGGGGCATTCAAGAAGAGACGCTTGGGATCGTTACCTCCGCGCCCCGTCTTGCGGTATACGTCAGACATGATCGCTATTCCGGCGAGGGGGCTGCTGTATCTTTCTACTGGTAAATGTGGACCGCAGTCTAGAAAAAGAAGGAAAGAAGGTGACGAGGAAAGAATGGCTCAAATGGCGCTTCCCGATGGAAAAAGAGCAAAAAACGACGACTCCAACAACAACCGGCGGGCAATCTCTTTCTTTGGCAATGGTTCACTGAGAGAGAGAAAGAGAGGGAAAAGCGACGTGCGGTTTTGCTATACCTATGGCGGCCGATGTGTCCAAGGGAGTGTGGCGCCGCGGGGTTAGTCGGAGCTTTGTGCGTGTGGGATGCTGCGCCATCTGGTGTTCGCAGCCGGTCACTTTTGGGGAGAGGGGAAGCTAAAAAGAAGAAGAGAAAACATACCTTTTCTGTCAATGAAGAAACCACATTCCCCTACTGATGGTTGCCGTGCACTGGTTTTCCCCTTCCCCGTTCCATTCGTGGACACTACTTGTTGCTTCTGACGTTATTGCATTTCCCTTTCCTCAGCAGCTTATTTGGGAGGGAGCCTGTAAAGTTGCGCAGCATTCGCGCGCCGATCGATGGATGCATTCGGGCATACTCCAGCCCTCATCCTGGGCCTTCCGTGTGTGGCTGGGCGGCGGTCTTGACAATCTTTTCGGGTTTGGGGCATATTCTACGAGATCGACAGGCACGCCTCCGACTTCGTCAATTATTGCTTTCAGCTTCCTCCCGCCGAAGAAAACGTCTCGTCAAAATCACATTGAGCTCGGAATGATAACCAACATTGAAGAAGACACCACACCCCTCGGTACAACGGTAGCGCGAATAGGCTCTGATAAGTCACCCCCCAAGGGTCCAACCCTCTTCTTACTCTCCTTTGTGGAGGGGGGAGCGGAACGGGCACCACGAACCTTGGCTCCGTTCCTGGTGAACCCATCCCACATTCCAATCTGCCTCTTACGAAAGAGACAGAGATAAAGAGAGGGCACGCCGAGCACATTCGAAACGGGGAAACAGCATCAATCCACGTGGAATACCATTGCTGACGCAGGTACACACATACGCAGCAACACACAAACACACATACACACACACACTCACACACACCAACCAAAAAAAAAAAAGAGAGAGAGAGAGAGAGAGAGAGAGAGGGAAAAAAAAAAAAGGGTAGCACGGACAACACTGCGCGATTTGGTTGGGGACGTCGCCTGCCTGGGCTTCCCAATGAAAAAGAGCACAGTTCGGGGAGGTACTTTAGAGTACGAAGGTGTACCTACCTATGGTACTTACAAGTGTCTCGTTCCCACTCCCCACTCAGCCGACAAGGGCTCCTGATAGCGACGCACGCGATGGGTACTGAAGAGGGGGTGGGGGTGTGATGTGCAGCTGCGGCAAGAGGGGCTGTCCTGGCACCGCTGATCGTCCTAGCCCGTTTGTGAATGCGACGTCCACTGTTGTGTCTCCGCCCCGTCAAATATCCATTCCTCGACAGCTGGGGCGCGAGATGGCAACGGGGCGACAGTGGTGTAAGCAAGCGAGCGAGCGAGCAAGCCGGCGATAAGTGTAGGTAGTATACCTACTTTGTGCTGACTGTACTGGCGGCTGGGCCGGCTCGAGAAGTGTTGTCTGATGTAATCTCTCTTGGGTTATCCGTATCTCGTCGGAAAGGACGGGAAATCAGGAAATCCCATACTCACATAAGACGAGGCGCAACCGACTTTATCCTTTCCTCCGCTCGGTCCCGTGACCGTCAAGACAGGTGTATCCCCGTTCCACGCCTCCTTCGTTTCTTTCCCAGATGCGAGGTCCGCCAGGAAGCTGTCACTTCACCTGGCAAACCTTATCTCCCTTGCGTGCAGGGATGGCCGAGTCTCTCTCTCTGCACTGCCTGAATAGTGCACACTCTAGGCCACGCTGCTCATCCATTTTGTGCAGTTATGCGGCCGGCGATGATCGGCGGCGGCCTGCTTATCCCGATTGAGGGAGCTTTCATGCGTACGGAGTAGAGGAATCGAATCCAGCTTCGGCATGGGCATGGCATTCTGTCCAGCGCAGTGAGGGGGTGCAGCTGCACCTCGGTAGGGCATGATCCCTGGCGCCCGTGTCTCAACTGCCCTACAGAACCACGACCTGCTGAACCTCAGAGAGGGCCATCGACGATGTGGCCGATGGCTCCTCTCTCTCTCTCTCTCTCTCTCTCTCTCTCTCTCTCTCTCTCTCTCTC